CCACCCAAGCAAATATATGCACACCCCTGTTTATTGTGGTTTTGTTCACAATAGCAAAGAGTTTCTAACAACCCAAATGCCCATCAAAAAACTAATGGATAGAGAAGCTGTGGTATATTCACACAATAGACTACTACATTGCATTAAAAAACAAGGAACTCATGCAATGTTATTCAAAATGGGTGACCCTGGAGGACATTATGCCGAGTGAAATATCTCAGTCACAAAAAGACAAATACTGCATAGTGCCACTGTTGTAGAATGGGACTGACATCAGCGTTAGGGTAAGACTGAGAAAAACTGGATAAATTATGTATACTGCATTGAAACAGATGAGGAAGAGAACAATTTAAAAGTGATATATGACAGGTTTTATGGTTATCATAAGAGTCCCGAATGAAGGTTGCATAGGGGAGTGTACGAGGAGGGGGAGGGTGTTGGGGGTGCTACTGTACACCAATGAAGGAATTTTTCTTTTACTTTTCAAAGAGAAGAACGAACAGTTCATTAAAATTAATAAAATAAAAAAAGAAAAATAATAGACCAGATGCTTGGCCATAATCCCATTATGAACACATTTCCAAGAATTGTTATCATCCAGAGGATGTTCTTGGGCCACAGTATAATGAAGCTAGAAATGAATAGCAAGTAATCATAATAAATGAATTTGTTTGGAAATTAAGTAATAAATACTAAATACTTTATGAAAGTAATATGAACAAGTAAAATTAAAAAACATCTCTCATACAACATAGAGTTAATATTTCTAAACAAAGTATTGACTGGACAAACAATATATTTTAAAATAGCCATCTTCCCCCCTGGAAACTCTTGGTAGATTTGAACTGCCTGAGAACATGACCTTTTGGTTAGCAGTGAAACTCCTTATTGACTGGACTACCAGATCTTCCCCTTCCATATAAAGGAAGAGCAGTAACATCGTTCTTGTAGCTGTTGAGAAGATACAGTATAATATTGTGTGCAGAAAGATGTTTGTGCATAATAAAATCTGAATGTTCTCTATTTTTTTTAAATAAGGGAAAATGTAATGATCTCAACAGAATCTGAAAAAAAATATGGTAAAATTCAAAACCTATTCATATAAACAGCATCAAAACAATTTGAAGAAGGATATTTCCTTAATCTGGTAAAAGCTATCTAAAAGACATTTAACAAATACCATAGGGTAGTGAAATGTTGAGTTTTCCCCTTAAAAACAGAATAAGGATGTGTGCTGCTAAGGGTTCTCTTCATTCCATTGTAGTTATAAGCTAGGTGGCTAGACAAGAAAGAAAAAGCAAAGAGGGCAAAGAATAACATGGATTGGAAGGGAAGAAATGAAACTACAATTATCTATAAATGTTGGAATGTATGTAGAAAGTTTTTAAAAAGAAATTATTGAAATGACTGAGTTAAGTGTTGTGATGGTGGTTGTAGTCATATAGAAATCAGTAAACAAAATAAGGTTTAAAAGGATACTTTTAACAGAAGCATTTGAAGAATATAATGCAGAAGATGAAAAACACATTAAGAAAGAAAATATAAACAATAAGGATGACGGAAGAAGAATTGATGCATTTAGAGTTCTGGTGCTGGAAAAGAGTCTTGATCATACCGTGGACTGTCAAGGAAACAAATAGATCTGTCTTGGAGAGATTGAAGCCAAGTTTTTCCTTGGAGGCTAGAGTTTCGAAGCTCCATACTTTGGGCATCCTTGGAGAAGGACATCATGCTCGGAAGGGTGGAGGAACAGCGCAGGAGAGGAAGACCCCTCAATGAGGTAGATTGATACAGTATCTGGGGCAATGGGAGTAGGTGTGTCCAAATTAGTGAGACTGGCTCAAGACAGGGAAGGGTTCAGAGCTCTTGTACATAGGGTTGCTATGGGTTGCAGGTGACTCGATGGCACATAACAACTACCACATGAGAAATTGAAGAAAACCTAAATAAATAAATGAGTGTTCTTGTGACATAGTCTGTAGTGAGTTGCACTGCCAACCCAAAGGCTCTGTGTCTCTCTGTTTGAATCCACCAGCAGGCCCAAGGGAGAAATATGGGCAGTTTCTTCCTATATAGGTTTGCAGTCTTAGAAAAGCAATGTCGGGTCACTATGAGTTGGAATCTACTCATCTGAACATGAATGTAGGAATATAGTGACCCTATCCCATGTTCCAAAGAAAATACATTGTTGTTTGTCATTCTTTTGTAATTAGAACTCAGTTACCAGTTATTGAATGAATTTTGTACTCGGTAGTAACATTTTATGTAGTTGCTAGCTAATTTAGTAGATACCGTTTTCACTTTTTATTGGTGTTTATTTTATAATGAATTGATTGTAAACCTTTCCCTTTATAGACTGTGACCGTAGATAAACTGCAAGGAAGTTCTGTGACTATAAGTACTGAAGATGGTTTGCTCAATGCCAAGTATCTTTATACAGAATCATCATTTCTGTGTTCTGCTGCGGGGGATATCACATTAGGAAGTGTTCACGGTAAGACAATAGAGTCCATGCACACCCCCAGCTTTCCACGTTCTCTGTAATTGAGGAAGCTTGTCCTATTAGGAAGATTCTCCTTCAAATGATTCATTGCAAACTCACTGTCTTTTATAACATACACTCACATACACACACTCACACACACGCACACACAAGAGATTCATGAGTGAACTTCATTTTGTTTTGGCAAGAAAATGAAGGTCATATTGCTATATATAAAGCTCATAATTCTGACTTTTTCATGTGTTTTCTTATAAAAGAAAACTATGAAATATGTGCAGGAGATAATTCAGGAAAAAAATCACAATGACATAAAAGTGGTACAATAAACAGTGTTTTTTGTGTCATTTTATTTTTTAGTGTTTTCGGTGGCAAAATTTGTAGGGTTTTTTCCCCCTTTTCTTTTTTACTTAAGTTCATAAATCATTTTGGTTTTTCATTTCCTTATTCATATGTTTTATAAAAGTGTAACAATATCATAGAATCATAGACATTTTATTTTACAACATTAATTCTAATTTACTAATGCATTTTTTTTTATTCTAACGTCTGATCAAAATGTATATTGCCTTTCCCTTCACCAAGCTTATTTATTGATTTTGACTCCCCTGTCCATCAGCAGATGAATAGAAAAAGAGACTTTGGTACATTCACACAGGAAGATACTCTGAACACTAAGGAACAATAAAAAATTCACAAAACACTGCAGAGCATGGATGCATAGAGAGGACTTGGTGCTAAGCGAAGGCAGTCAGTCGACAGGATTATCACAGGGAGGACCACCCTTAGAAAAAAGCTAAGGGAGGGTTCAGTAGCTGATTCTTACAAGTGGATGAGCAGGCCTTTCTTCTGAGTTGTCTCTTTAACCTCCGACTTTTCATGTTAATTGTTTGCAACACCAGGGACTCTCAAAGTATTCTGTATCTCTTGATAGCTTGAAGTAGCTGAAGTGGAAATAAATTTCTAGGGAGAAAAACCCCTTATTTCACTTTTTCTGTTTCTTGATCTTCAATATGAGGTTAAATACTTTCCCTGGGTGAGAGGAATCTGACTTAGACCTAAGTTCACTTTTCCCCCCACCTTTATCTCAGGTTGAGTTTACCTGAATGCAGACAGACTCTGGGATGAGAAGCAGAGCACAGGAAGGTTACAGGGGACTCTGTTGGGATCATATGTAAAGGAAAGAAGTCTCATTTATCATAGTATAAGTCAGCCTGTGATACAGTCTCCTCTAACCCAAATGGAAATCCAGCAGCTAAGGAGGGTCCCTTAAAGTTATCCCAACTTGGGGTGTATTTCACTAGATCATGGGTTAAACTAACTGGCACTTGTGGAAATAAAGACAGTGGAGATTTATTTAGTTTTAAATTTACTTGTTATTTTCAAAAGTGAAGCCTAAATGAATTTTTTTTTCCAGATAGAATTATTAAAAGTGAAATGCAGATGTTGTAAAAAGCCATTTTTACAGCAGTTATGGTGTAATAACTGCCTTTTTTTTTGGTCGATTTTGCTAAGTTAAAGAGTTTGGACACCTTGTGTGAGTGGGTAAGTGATTTTTGAAATGACTTCTACTTGGTTCATTTTAGTTTATCCCATTGCTGAGAATTGTTGGCCAAGTGGGTAAGGAATTGTACTACCAACCCAAAGGCAGGTGATTCAAATCCTAAAGATTATCTTTCTCCTGCCATGAAATTTACAACCTCTGAAAACTCAACTGGAGGGTCAGCTTTGATTCAGTTACTGGTCAATAGCTTATGATGAGAACAATAGAATGTAGATTCTGCATCAGTATATTCAGGCTGGAAATGCAAATTCTCAGCAAGTTGTTAAACTGAATTGACTGATACGAAGTCCTGCTTTGAGGCCTTCTGGGTCCACTTGAGAACAAGTCCTTCTAGGCAAACAGGACTATAGTACAGATGCACCTATACAGCTATGTTTTATATTGTAAAACCTTGAGTTTCAAGACCATTTCTTACAGCCTTATGACACCTGACACAAACTGTTTGGGCTTGGCTCAGCTCTTTTCATAAAAGCTCTTTCCATAAAAGATGTTATCATCTTGATTGTGTAACTTCAGGGCTTCCTGAAAGGAAGAGAGAATGTGGAGGATCATGCTAGAAACTTCAGGCATCAGGCTCAGAAGGTCTACTTTCCTTTAACTCATGTTGTTTTGTTGTTATGTACAGTTGAGTCACCTGCAACTCTTAGCCACCCATTTTGTGATTGGGTTATCTTTTTCTTGTTGAGGTGCTAGAATATTCTATAAGTTTTAGATCTGAGTCCCTTATCAGATATGTCATTGTTAACTTCCATCAATTCACCTGCATCCCATAGCAACCCTATGTACAGCAGTTCTGAACCCTGCTCTGTCCTGAGCCAGTCTCATTACTTCCAACACACCAACCCCTGTTGTCCCAGTTACTGTATCAATCCACCTCATCTGGGGTCTTCCTTTCCTTCGCTGTCCATCTACCCTTCCAAGCATGATGTCCTTCTCCAAGAACCGGTCTCTCCTGACCACGTAGCCAAAGTATGTCAGATGGAGCTTCAAAATCCTAGCCTCCAAGGAGAAACTTGGTTTCATCCTCTCCAAAACAAACCTGCTTGCTCAGTCTTTGGTGTAGTCAGTATTCTTCTCCAGCACCACAACTCAAAGGCATCAATTCTTCTATCATCTTTAGTCATTGTCCAGCTCTCTGATGCACAGCAAGTGATTGCAAAGACTATGGCCTGGTTCACGTGCACCTTAGACTGACATCGTTGCTCTTCAGTACTCTGGAGAGGTCCCTGACAGCAGATTTTCCCAGTGCAATTTGTCTTTTGATTTCTTGCCAAGATTGTTGATTGTAGAGCTGAGCGTGTTGTTTTAGCGAGAATATTTTCCCGTGACCTCATCAGAGGCTGAGATACAGAGCTTAACAGTGTTGTAAGGAAGGTGGGAAGCACACAAATATTAATAAGCACTGGCAGTGTCTGCCATAACTTAATATTACTCTTTATCAACTTTCTGTCATTTCATTATCTTTCTACATCTTTGACTTTAGTGTCATCAAGGATTCATCAATACACCTTGAGATTCTTTCTACATGTTTTCCTTGGACATCTTACAAAGGAAGTTGCTGTGTTACAAATCAGATCTGTTCCTAACTGTGTTCTTAAGAATTTGTAGGCTCTTTGGAATTAGTATAGATGTTCTTATGTAGCCTTACTTTAGGACAAGAAAGGACTGGAAGCCTTTTCCATGGTTTAAAAGCTGTAAGTAGTGCAAGTAAAGGGGACTCCTATGAATTTGTTGTGAGTAGAGGTTGAACGAGTAAGGGTGGATTCATTAATTTCAAAGTGAGAAGAGGTTTTTATAGCATTAAAGCAAAGCTTTAGAGGTGACAGTGCCTCCATTGAAGGATGTGCTACTTTGCATGTTTGTGTCTAGTTGCCACAGACCTGCCAATAATCCAGTCTTTTGCATTAGACTCCCAAAAAGCCTCCCTACACCTCTTCTGAGTCTCCCATTACAGGACTTCAGCTGGTTATTGTTATTCTGGTTTATACCATAAACCACCCAAATAATAATTCATGTCTGTTTCTATTTCATTTCATCTGACCAGTTCTGGTTTCAAGTCCTTCATTAATAAAGGGCAAGTAGGAGTTGTCTGTAGATTGGACCGTCATTACCTGTATTATACTTTGTAGTCTTGCAGACTCTTCTATTCTGATGCTTCATATCACATCTGCTTAAGGGAGCTGTAATGCCAAAGAGATACAAAGAGACACCGTCTTTGGGTTGGCAACTCATTTTCCTACCCATTAGGTCACCAAAGTTCCTTGTCTTTTTCCTAGAATGCATAGTGACTTTGCCTCCTGTTTTACCTCTTTCAGATCCATCCTCCTCATTGTAACTGTTAGTGCTTTGTGCCATTGAGTTGGAACAAACCCATAGCTGACCCTCCAACAGGTTTTCAGAGGTAGTAAATTGCATGGAAGGAGATTGCCCATCTTTCTCCCATGCAGCAGCTTGTGGATTCGAACTGCATGCCTTTGGTATTGCAGCACAGCTTTTTACCACTAGAGTTGTTGTTGTTATGTGCCTTCCAGTCGCTTGCTACTCATAGTGACCCTATGTACAAGAGTCGTAAATGCCTTTCTATCCTTTGCCAACCTTGCCATCTCAGACACACTCATTCCCACCACTCCAATCACAGAATCGATCCATCTCATGAAGGGTCTTCCTCTCCTGCGCCGTCTCTCCACTCCCAAACATGATGTCCCTCTCCAAGGACCAGTCCCTCCTTGCAACATGCCCAAAGTATGTCAGATGAAGCTTCAGAATCCTTGACTCCAAGGAGCATTCTGGCTTCACCCTCTCTGGGACAAACCTGTTTGTTCTCCTAGCAGTCCGTGGTATATTCAACACTCTTCTCCTGTCTGTAATGTCTTCCAAATTTACAGTCTCCTACTTTTTCTTGTACATACCTTTGATTATGGTGTTTATATTCTACCTAAAATGTTTTCTCTCCCCTTCCCCATCAACCCCCCTAAAATGCTTTCTTTAGCTCTTTTTATCTGATTGAATTTTAGTAATCTTGTCTCACTGTTAAAGCACAGACTTCACATCATGCTGACCCTTCATCAAGTTTCTGAGACTAACTCTTTGCAGGAAAAGACTGCCTATCTTTGTTCCAGGAGTGGCTAATCGATTAGAATTGAATGAAAGCATCCTGTCCTCCCCTCTGGCCTTCCATTGACCTTTAAATTGGCCTTCATTGACTGTAAATTTTTCCTAATTATAGATTCTCTAAGAGCAGGAATCAGTCTATATTCTTAGTATTTACTACCAAGACTTCAAAGAACAAGTATGTCTACTTTATCTCCCTCCTCCTCAGGCAAAAACAGAGGACTAAGACTTTAGAGATATTTAATGCTGTGTTTGGACTATGAAAGTCTGCCATTTTAACCACAATTTTATTTCTCTTAGAGAAGAAAAAATAAACTAG